TAACTCACAACAGAGATTTGAAAAGAAGCCAGATGACTTACTCGTTAGCTTCCTCCATCATCAGCTCTGACAAGTAGTATGTGTGTGTTGTTATTATCCCCTCCACAAGTTCAGTAGTGTGCATAAATGAATCTGTGTGTCCAAAGCCTCTTCCTAGCTAAAACAAGGCTGTTCTTTTATCTGAAAACATTACATTTTTTACAAGGTATATAAATCTACATAATGGAACAGATTTGAATTTCCTATAAGATAGAGGTCTGGGGCACTGGAGTCATCAGAAATGATAATCTGAGGAAAATCAGTATCCTCATTAATGTGGATGATAAGTTTCAACATGCTGTACTGAAAGCCTTCAAGGCAGGTCACAGGATTGACCCTTCATAAATTATGTATACACAAGACAGTAAATAGATAGATGGGAATACAGGCGCTTGATGTTGTTTATGTGAAAGAGAAATGCAACATTTCATCTCAGAAATGTGTTTTTTTTGTTTTTGTTATTTGAAAAAGTAAAGTTTTTCACAAATGGAGGTTAAACATTGGAAGACAAAAAACGATGGAAGAAAGTCTGAGGATCTGTTCAGCTTGGAGAGTCATTCCTATCATTGTCAAAAAGCAGTCCATGATGGAGCGAGGGTCCATGTACATTCATATTCTAGCTGAAGTTTGCAACCTGACCCTCGTGATGAGGAAGGCTGTTTGTGAGCGTTATTCTCATGATTCAAACGTTTCACTTTTTACAGTTCCCTTTAGATGTTTTCTCTCCCTTCGATCTGTCACAAAGTTCCTTTTCATTGGTTAAGTTAATGTTAGGTAAATATAACCTCCAATCTACTGGCTGTTCCTTATTTTATTTCAAAATAAAAGCATATTTGTATCAAAACAGAACGTAAAGTACTCATAGCTAAAGCCTGTATAGAAATAAAGAAAAAGCATTACTAAAATTGTTTTGGATTGCAAAATAATGGAATTAAAAATATGGTGAAATCAAAAATGGGATAACTTCAAAGTTAGTGACTAAAAAAATAAGTTTTGTAACTTATAATGATCACATAAGAATTAACATTAAGAGCCAATCAGAATACTAATAACAAGAGTTGAATTGTAGCGCAGGGTATCATGAATCTAACAGTTTAACAGGAAATGTCCTGCTTGACCTTGACTCACAAGCTTCTGTTTAAGTGTTTTTTAAATATATTATATTTATTTCATTTTTTTATGCCTTTGTTAAGACAGGGCAGTGGATAAAGTCAGAAATCAGGGATAGAGAGAGCGGGGAATGACATGCAGGAAAGGAGCCACAGGTCGGACTTGAACCCGGGCCTCACGCTTCAACGATCGCAGCCTATGTTTACCGAGCATAAGAAATAACCGTTTGTTCACCGGCGCCCCCCTGTGGTACTTTCCTGACCTGAGAAACGCTGTAACTGCTGAAAACTTCTTAAGCTATCTAATCACATCAGCTCCTTTGTTCCATTTCTCAAATTATTATTTGTGTAGTTTCATGCTCCCCTTCTCTGGTCTCATTTCTGGACATTTGGACTTTCCTCCACCAAACTTTCCTTACCCGATTTCATTGAACCAGAAAGATTCATGGAGATTCTTGCCGGAGGAGCAGCAGCTCTCTATGGAATTTGCTTGAGACGCCGCCGACAGGGGAAGCGAGCAGCAGCGCTTGTTAAACTGAGGCAGCAGGGATTTCAGACTGCTCACCCGTCCATCTACCCGGCAAATGCCCGCTTGAGACTGTGGAGATGACAGTGGACTTCAGGAGAAGCCCCCCTCGCCCCCACCCCGCTGAACAGCACTGTGTCACTGTGTAACAAAGTACCCACTGGGGATGCTAATAAGACTATTTAACCACATTTTATGTTCGCTCATTTAATCTTGTGAATCTCGTTATCCTCCTCACTTGACATCAATCTATGCACGCTGCCTTCATGTAAATACTATAAAAAGAATACCTCATGTAAATGAACCCATCTGTTACCTACTTCAGCTATTATCTTGCTCATTTCAGTAGCTTTTACACTACTCACCTCTGCACTATTTTCTTATTTAGTCTCAGTCTGTTTATTTGCTTTGTGTTTGATAATACTTCATGTTTTACTTTTCAAAGTCGCATTCCTTGTATGTGTGAGCATGGCCTGGATTCTGATCCTGATAACCTCTCAGGAAAGGAAAAAGAATCAAAGCTGTTGCCTCAAGAGAAGAAACAATCTTATCAGAGCTGTGAATCTTAGTATCTACCATGGCTTCAAGGGGGAGAAACCCCTCCTTTATTATCGCTTTTTACCTTCAAGCAAAGTAGAATGATGCTCACATGTTGGCTAGGCTGGTTCAAAAGGGTCAATTATGTATTGTATACCTGCTTTCAGCTTTAGTTCTTTTTGGATGTTGTTGGGCAAAAGGGAGAGAGATAGTCAAAAGACAGAGAGGGAAAGAGGGAATGAAAAAAAAATAAGTGGTGATATTTCTGAGGTTGCAGGTGCAGAACATGAAATGTGTCCTTTTCCGCATTTATGAGTCTCATCTTGACAGTTCAATTTGTTCTGCAAATGGCTGCCAAAAGACTAAATTGTGGGCGAAGGTCTTTTTTGGCTCGCTAGCTGGTGATCCTTGTCACCGTCTTGGATGTGAAATATCTGTTTCTCTAAAGGTCTCACAGAAATATTTGCCAACTCTGTTCCTCATCACACGCATATATCCAGGCTCCATTCTCCTCAACCTCAGACTGGGAAATTGGACGGTGAAAACCTCTGTCCTATCAAATTAAAGAGAGAGAGAGACGGTCTGAGGAAAAGAAAATAAGCTTCTTCTCTTTTTCTCTCTCTTTGTCTATATTTCTCTGCAGCAAATGAACAACTGCAATGCTTTCCCAGCCCTTATAATACAAACATAACCTACGTTTACTGAATCTTCAAACAAGATAAAGATGTGGCCCTGGACTGAATTGTAAAATATTTTATGTATTAATATATTGCCATTTGAATTCAACTGACAAAAGGAACCAAGAGATGCACCATTCCCTTTTTTCTCTCAATTTTCACACTTGTCATTTGCTATTAATGTGAAGTTTGCAGGATCCTTACGAAAAGGATGTTATAGTGAGTGAATTGTTTGCTGGAAAATGTTGGGCTTTTATTAGAATGCAAAGTAGTGTGAGGTGGTTGAGGAAAAGTCTGAGTATATAATAGTTGAATCCTTAGCACAGGCACATGCCATCAGCTCCATCCTTGAATGTAAAAGAGGATTAGTCTACTGTTCTTATTATCAGCCTGTCAGGATTGCTGCTAAGAAATTCAATCACACAGAGTAAGAGGTGGGGATGCTGTCATGTTGCCTACTGAAACAAGAAATATTTTCAGACCACATGCAGGATGCAAGATTTCTGACATTGTTGCAAACAAATTGTTGATCATTTTCACCCTAAATAACCTCTTAAAGGCAGTGTTGGTCATTTAAAGTAGCATTCCCTCAGTGCTCCGTCTACGACCACCCCCTCCCATCTGTGCTCCCTCAAAAGCCACGCCCCTCACTTACATGCAAGAGCGCCGCATTGTAGTCTCATGTCTCCCTCAGCAGTAAGTAAACATTCAACTTTATCAGAATAAAAGAAAACACCTGACTATTTTACTAAACTCACATAGGCCAACGAAAAACTCACAGAAGAACAGTTTGAGGGAACATTCGACTGAGATATCAAGGACTTTAGTAATTTACCATCATACTGATGAAAAGAAGCTACTGATATACTTTGAAAGAAGAACTTTCCCTTGTGGTGTGAACAGTTATACCTCTCTTTACTGTGTCAACTCATGCTCTTTCTGTCACTCTGCTTCACTTAAACACACATTTGCACCCCTCCTGCCATCTACCTGGCAGCTCACACACACCTCTCCTCTCTCCTCATATTTTGATGGATTGATTACACCCACAGTGGGGGAAAACATCACAGATTTTGAGTGTGTGATAGCCACACACTTAAATACAAGTCCTGTTTCCTCTCATTAACTAAATAAAATGATCAAAGATCAATTTCTAAATGAGCCTTTAAAAGCTCAGGTAAGAAAACAATTATGAACTGATTGCAAAATGTACAACATTGTGAAATGTAATTGATACTCTAAAAATAAAAATATAAAGAGAGCAATAAGGTTAAAAGAGGAGAGTTATTGCACAGAGTCCGTGTGAGTAATGATCAATTGATTTAGCTTTTATTAATCGTTGTTGCAACCCTAAATAATGATTCAAGTTAAATCCACCAATAACTTGAACAGAAGGTATTCTTCAAAGGATGTAAACCAGCTTATATTTGTCATGTCTTAATCCTTGCAGTGCTTATGATCTGATGAACCTGGCTGTTTTGTTGCCTTTGTAACGCACTGTGTAACTTTGATTGAGAAAAGTACGTCATACATTTGTCAACTCCATGGCACATCTCAAGTTTTTGAAGTTATGTTTGATTTATGTTCAGTTAAGGTGGGGATGTTTTTATAATGCAGGTTAAATATTGACCTTTTAATAATGTTGAATTCATTAGCAGAACAGTTCTTTAACTTTGAATACTTTGTCGAAACTGATTTCAACTGTCCTTTCCATGTGTGACAACGTTCAGATGCAATTTCGATGAAAGATTGTTTTTCACCTTCTCATCTTACCAGCATTTATTTTAAGCTTCACTTTAACCTTCTGGGCCATGATTCTCATTTAGAAGCAACATTTTCTGCCTTGTTAAATGTTTCTTTGCCCTGTAGCTGCATTGTCATCAGAGCTTTTGTTATCTGTTTGAAGCTGCGGTTCTGGCTCTTTTGACCTCCTACTATCTTTTCCCACTGCCATTATGACTTAGAATAGATTAAAAATTTAAATTTAATGGGAAGGCTTCCATTGATCCTTTTTAATTATCCACCTGTGAAGCGTGTGGTTCAAGGGTGTTGATTATTCAGGAGACTTAGATTGACTTTTTTTTGTCTCTTTGTCTGTCTTATCTTTTGTAGGGGGATGACGTCCTGACGGTCATCAAAATGAAAGCACAGTGGCCAGCCTGGCAACCACTCAATATGTAAGTAACATAATATAATTATTACAGAGCTCTCCACACATCTGTACTGACACTGCTGCTGGTTCGCAAGATTGTAATCTGTTTGTAACAACACTTGAAAGATCTTTATCATTCTCCTATGGAAGCATCATGTACATTCAGCATCCACAGTGTGAGGCTAATAGACCAAAGCCTTCCCAACCACTGCTAACCCTCTCCATAAGAAGAAAACCACATATATGGTACATTAAGTTCTGATGTTCTTGGGCTTCAGATATCCGAATAAAGAAGTTTGTATCCAAAGTTGGACCCAGAGCTTGCTGATCAGTGAAAAAAGCATCTCAAAGGTGCCCTGAAACTGCCAGCTACATCATGCTCGGAGTGTGCATGCTCATTTACTCCTGTATTCATGAGAGCCATTTAATCTCTTATTTATGAAAAAAACAAGGAGCTTGTTGGCTCAGCGAACTCTGAAGAACTTTAGTGGTAAAGGCCTGTGCACTGTTGTTTTCCCACCCACAAACCGAAACAAGGGGTATGACTGAAGTCTCCAAAGGGAAGAACACAGCTCGGGATATAAGCAGTGATAACCACCAGGGCTAATTACCTTACTCTCTGCTGTAAAGGAAACCAATTAATTGTTTCACACAGTAATCGTGTTCAGCACATGCAGGAGGGTGTCAAATCTATTATGCTGGTTTTGAGCAAGAAAAGGAAAGAGGATTTATATTGATAAACACATGGACGTCCCCTCATTATGGAAGTTTTTCTTTCCTTAGCCGGCTGGAAATGTTCATGAGTTTGACACATAGCTGTATTAAAATTTTATAAATTCATGTTGAAGTCAGCGTGCTTCATTAATGTGTGTGTTTGTATGTTTTCTTCAGAGTAAATATGGATCAGTGTGTTTCTCAATTATTTATTTATTTAATTGTTTTTGCTTATTAAAGTAAATTATATTGCTTAACTGAATGTGTTGACATGTGCACTACAGGGCCCGACTGGGATTTTTGTTACCGATATCAATACCGATATTAGGGATGAAAAAAAATTGACACCGATATATTGGCCATATCTTTCTTGGTTCTATCTTCAATCTGTAGAGATAGGTGGATATAAATATACACATATTTGCGTTGATCCCAGTTAGTAGTTAATAGTATTAAACAATGATACTTAAATGAAATGCTCATTAACTGGTGATTAAATCTAATTATATCGGCGCATATCTGAGATAAAATGAGCCGATTCTGATAGTCACTGGATACTCTAATATCTGTCGATATTATCGGCCGTCCTATAAATCAGTCTGGCAATGTTACCTTGAGTACCTGTACACCAGAAAACATTTAGATGTAAATACCTTATCCAGGTTTTTAAACTGACAAGATCAAGACACAACAGCCCTCCGTTAATCAGACACTTAAAAACTGACATCATTACACATTCATGAGTAATATCAATAAACCACTTTCTCATGTTCTATGAAAACACCATCCAAGCAAGAGCCAAACCTGTAAGGCTAAAACCAGGATATCGATGAGCATGTAAATGAGCATTTTATGTTAAGGTACATTTCACCGACTTTCATTACTTTGTCCCTGTTATAAGTGTGTAAAGGATTTGCAGATGTGGCCAGTGTCTGTGTGTTTCTAAGGCACAGTTGTGTGAGGGTGGGTTTTAAAAATCTAAGCCGATAAATCTGTTATTCTCCTGGTCAACAGTGCCATACTTTAATGTAGGTGTTGGCCTGGAAGAAATACCCTCCAAATTCGATTTCTTACTTGAGCCTTTGCTGGAATGGAAAAGTGTTAAACCATATTTATTGAAGCAACATAAAACAGCCAAAGCAATGCAGCAGCAAGGCCGAGGCATGTGGCTGCTTTTTCACAATGCATCCAGTTTCATATACTGTAGGGAGGTACAGCATAGCTGAAAACTGCTCTTTGTCTGAGAAGCACTCACCTAGAAATCTATTGTATTAATTGACTAGCTTTATTATCAAGACTAATGGGGCATTCAAAAACAAATGGTTCTCTCTTCCACTTTTTAACTGACACTTTTTCAAAGCTGTTTTTCATTTAAAGTTTTGATGTAGTCAACATTTCTTGTTTTGACAAATGGGAGGATAAAAGACAGCAAGAGAGCGAGAGAGAGAGAGAAAGAGAGCGAGAAACAAAGCGAAAGAAAGGAAATTAACAGCCATAAAGATTAAGGACATGATTAAATGAAGCTTCTGAGAGGACGAGGACTTAATTACCTAGGTAATGTTTTATTATAAGTTTACTTTTTATTTGATAACTAGTGTGCACTGCATTCTGTGAGAGTGCCTCCTCTCAAACCATGCTTTCAATTTAATTTTACTATGAAGAGCAAAATGATTGCTGGAACAAAGGGCAAGACATCTGAGATGGAGAGGGAGAGGAGGTGGGAGAGGAGGAAAGAATGAGGCTGAAGAAGTGACTGCCATTATCACACTTATTACAGCAGAATTTCTACCACACTGACTCTCCTGCGATCCAACACATAACAGAGGAAAAGAAATCAACAGAAATGACACTGCAAGACTAAAACTTCATTACTTGTCTAAATGTGTCATTGAGCTTTTGGTATATAATGACACCTGCAAGTTGGAAAACTTATCCAAATAATGCAGAGTCTGTAAGAAATCTATGCAAAGGCCAATTACCTTAGGGTGTATATTGCAAGGAATATTAGGCCTCCAAATATGATGCTCAGCAAGATTGGCAGCCCTGGTAAAAGTAACCTTTCCTTGCTAAGCATACCAGCTCCACACACATACTTTACATCTGATCAGTTCACCTGACTGACAATAGCGTAGATGTTTTGGAGTTCTGATACTTTTTTGTATGTTGATTCTTTACCGTATTATTTAGCGATAGAAGTATACAGAAACAACTTCTAGCAGAGATACACTTCAGCTTTTTCAAAGGCTCTTGATACTCTTAAATGTTTTAGTCAGTTAAATTTTCCATCAAGTTTTAGTTCGCAAATGAAACTGTTGAATTCAAAGTTAGTGATTCTGAAATAAGTTTGGTAACCCAAAGATGATATGGTTCTTCACTGCTCAGGTGTCCAAAAATGTTTCTATTCTTTATGCCTCATCCTCTAACACAGTCACATTGAAGGAAGCATGTGCATCCTTTTGATCCAGTAGATGTCGCCCTAGAGCACCAGCATTAAACCAAAACACACTGCGGTTTGACAACACCTCCGCTATTCTGAAGCCTCTGCTCTCCTCCAACCACTCTCCATTCGCATTCACACAAAGTTATGAATTAGAATGCATAACTGAAAGCACCATGAAGCAGAAGTGGTCCTTTGCTCAGATGATTGCCAGTGGCCTGCATTGTTGTGTTAGCAGGCTAATGTTAATTCATAGCTTCGTATTACACATAAATTGACACCGAGTGACGAGATCTAAAAACACTTACATGACATCCACGTAAGCGTAGATGTTCTTCTTTTCTCTAGTCCATGAACACAGCTCCGATAACAACACAGCTGGCGGAACTCAGGCTCCTCACTCATTGATGACAGTCATGACTCAGAGAGACATTTACAGAGGATATACTTGATGCACATAAATGATCCAAAGTGCCTTTAAAGAGTGTAACAGATAAACGTAGAATTAAAGACTCACATAGAAACAAACTTCCAACAACTCTTAACAGGTAGTAGGTTTAAAAAGAAACCAAATATGAAATTATAAACAAATACTGAAAAAAAAAGGAAAGGATGGATACTACAAAATTGTATTTTTTTTTAACCCACATGCACCCCAGACAAATTAAATAAAAATATAAGCCAAGCTGAGAGAAACAAGGACTGGCAACACTCATACCTATGTGTCAGGGAAACTTCACACTAGAAACCTGGCTTATCATGTAAGTGAAACAAAAATCAGCTTGGAAGTGAGCAGCAATGCAGGGATTAAAACAATCTATATGGCTTTTTTTCCAGTGTAGGAAATGGCCTAGAAAGGGAAAAAGTCATGTTCTTGAATACCTCAAATATCTTTGAAAATCATTTCCATTATAGTTTTGGCCAATTGGAACTTTCTATGAAGTACAGCGGACACCCTGCCTGGGATCCCTTCATGCTGCCTTCATTTGGACAAAAAGCACACTTTGATATAATTGCTGTCTAAATAACTGACAGTGTACCAATGGAAATGAGGCAGAGGCTGAAGTGATTCACGGCATCTTCTGCTAAAGTCAGAGGAAGTGGAGGCACACTTAAGAACATAGCATGGAGATGCATTTGCTGAAAGCAGGGATGAGAATTTTAACTTCACATTTAACTGTTGGTTTCTGTATGGAGTCTTTCAGAAAGGTGTCACTAAGGTAGGTGTGCTCTTACAATGTATCAGCTCTTGCTACTTCAGTTGAAATGGCTGTCGAATGGCCATCCCCTGCAACCCGCCCACCCGATGGTGTTGGGGGGGTGGGGGGGTGCCCTGATGCAGAGGGTGGCGGGCGAGCTGGCGTCCGCAATAGAGCGACCGCACATTGCGGGTACTACAGGCACGCGCAACGCGGGCAACACGGAGACAGGACTGTCCACCGGCTGACAAGTCCTGTCTTTTTTTAAAGAAACAATGCTAACCTCTCATAAGCCACCTATGTCAGTTAAACGAACTATGGTTCTGTTGCATTGTCTGGTATGGCAACTCATATCTAAGAGATTATCTGTTAAAATATTTCCAGCCTGTCTAAAAGGCTTTCTAAGTAGAGTCTCATCTGCTTAATCAAGTTGCAACCTCTTAAATATAACTCCAAATTAAGCCCCTTATTAAAATACACAACTTTACAGCAGAAACACACGTTTACAGTCTGGTACAAAAAAGACTTTGTCTCTAGCTATATTACTATTAGTCTGCCCTTACAATACCTGGCTCGTTAACTTGTTTGGTGTTTCTCATTTATTTATTTTCTGGTGGCCAGTGCATAGGAATCAGTATTGTAGTTTGCTTTTCCCCTACAGTAGTTTCTATGCAAAATAATAATACATAATTTTCAAAGACTCACAAAAAAATTAAACAACCAAGCCACCTATGACTCCTTTTGTTCCACCGTATCCTCCCACTATCACACTTCACAATATAATGTTTTCCTCTTTTAGTTTCATCACTGAGTTTCTCTTCATTAGTTTACACACTTCTTTCCCTTTATAGTGGATGCATTCATGACAGCCACAGTACCCCCATGACAGTCGTCTAGCTCTTTGTTGTTGTCCCCTTCCTCTCTGCTCTGTCAGGCATCTTCCTAATAGAGGAAAAACTACTTTGGTGTCCTGTTCGGGTTTCTTTCAGTAGCAGCCAAAAGAAATGAGCTGCTTGTCAACGGAGCGACATAAGGACTTTTTGAAGATGAGAATACATCTGTTAGTAGGCTGACTCTTTTATTTCTGTCACATTTAAAACTATCTTTAAGTGTTGAAAGTTATAGTTTGTGTGTAGTAGTGTGAATTACACAAATGCTTCTGGGCTTACTTTTGGGATAGTTTTTGTTCTACCATCTGCTCTGCAACTGACAGCTTCTCAGTAGAAACATAAACATAGTTCCTCAAGCTCTGACTGAGCTGTGACTACTAGGAATGAACTGAGTAGCAGACTAAATGGTTAGAGTTGGCACACTAGCTATCCAACACAAAAATGACTAGTTGGTTAAAGAACCAAAAATAGAAAGGTACAGTACACAACTGAAAACCAAACAGACAGTCAAAGGCAGTTGAAACAGTCAACTCAATGATTGACGTGGAGATGCTAATAATCACCAGTAACCAGAAAGCTTAGCACATGAACGAACCACAAACATAAGCATTACAGAGGAGTTGTTTCAGATGAGAATCCCTTCTCTATTTTTTGACCAGACTGTCTCTGTCAGTTACCTTCTTTAGAGCCCAGGTAGCTGTCTCAGGTAACCCTCAGACTTGTAACACTGACTTAGCCAGAGACCCAGGAGACTCAGGTCAAGTTGTGTGTTCTCATCCTCACTGGTAATCATTAGTAAGGGGAGAATGTGGGCAGGACTGAGTTAGCTGAGGTCAGACAGATTTATACTGGCATCATTACGGCAGAGAAGGAATCACCATCTAATTGTCCATGTCACTACCGGAATCTTCTCCCTCCTAATGAATCTTATATTGGCTAGGAAACTTTCTCTAATTAGTGGAGCTGTCAATCATTTGTCAAGACAGATGGCTAAAGGTGTGTGTGTTTCGCCCATGCCTGAGCAGAGCAAATTTAGTGTGGAGAGATAGAGTCTTGAACATGTCTAATTAAAACCTTCTTGTCACATGATTTGTGGGCACTACCTTACCTTTCTCCTTCTCTAAGACTTAGTGAAATTTAGAGTCTCCAGATGAGCTTGATTTTAAGTCACAGTAGCCAATTTTACAATTTATCTTTCCTTCTTTCTGCTTTATTTCTGATGATTGTCCTATCAAGATAAGACATGCTTAACAACTGCAGCACCCCTGAGGCCTTACATTTTGGTTAGATCTATGAGGCGTGTAGGTGTGTGGAGATGTCCCAATGGGACACACATTTATTTTCTTCATGATAGCATATTTACTCTCAGCCTGTAAGTGTAGACGTGTGCTCTACTTGGGCTGGGCTGTTTGTGTGAGCAGTTGGTTTGAATATGTGAGCTAAAATGCATAAATGTTAAAATTATAAAATGATGCTGAGTTCTCAAATGCATAGATTCTCTGATCTCTGATACTAGTTGAATGTGTTTCAAGTTAAAGGGCCATCCTTTTTAATAATTCAAGCTTATGAACTCCATAATTCAAAACTAGTTCCTGAATCTTTTGAACCCTGCTAAGGTGTGCCGGATACGGTTTAAGCTAAACTTCTGACAGAATGAATATTTATATGAAACAAAACTATGTATCCAGTGTTCTGTGTTTGTTTCACAAAGTCAAACAAGCATTGTGGGTGAAATTTTTTTTGGCTGTAACTGGTTTCTACCTTATCTACTTCAGGTTGTTACCCTAACCCTGCACCCGTACCTTAAGTGTGTTACACTTGGGTGGGCTTTTTAGGGCAACTTGTAGGTGACAAACTAGATCTTTAAAAGTTCACAAGGAGCAACTAAATGTATCACTGGGTTTATTTCGGTCAAAGCAACACCCCTTCAGTCTTTTACGATGCTTTTAACATCACACGGTCTCTCCCCGTCTCCTCTGCTTTGATACACTGTGACCTTTCTCTCTTACTCAGTCGGGCAGCCCCCTCTGCTGAATTCTCAGTGGACCGGACCCGTCACCTCATGTCCTTCCTGACCATGTTGGGCCCAAGTCCAGATTGGAACGTGGGTCTCTCTGCTGAGGACTTGTGTACTAAGGAGTGTGGCTGGGTCCAGAGGGTGGCCCAGGACCTGATCCCCTGGGACGCAGGCACTGACAGTGGGGTGACGTACGAGGTCAGTGGTAACACTCACACATTTAGATGTTAGGTACTTGTAGTTTTCCTTGCAGAAATGTGCTCCAGGCCCCTTATGAACTAAATGTTTTATTTAGTATCAACTGAACCGTATGTAATGAGTTGTATTAAACATGTTTGCATTGAAGTTGTTGTTGATCATCATTTCAATTAAAAATATGCAAGTAAAAGAAACACTGTGTCATCAATTTGCAAGGAAACTGCAGAGTCTGTCTGAATGTGTGACTCAGGTCAGGTCATAACCCCACAGTCAAGTGCCAATTACAGACTTTTGCAAACTGTAACTTTTCTCCTTCTTCTCCCCCCCTGGATAACCTTCATCCTCACTCCCATCACCAGCTGAGTCTTCCCCTTCACACTCTCATTTTAACCTTGTCATTAAACCAACCTTTTCCTCTTCATCTGCCTGTCTGCTCACATTCCCAATCACTCCCTCTCTCACCTCTTCACATACTGCCAGTCTGCAACAGTTCACTGTCATCACTCATCCAATTCTCCTTTAACAGCCTTCAATGTCTTCTCCCCTCTCCCAAGACCCTGAGGTGCTGTCTGCTGTGTTGCTCACTGTCTCCACTCAGGACTCACAGATTAGTGTGTGTTTGTCCAAACTCTATGACGACATGTGTGAAAACCTTTGGCTGATCCTCCCCAGACCGCACATGAACTAGGGTTTCTCGACCGCTTCGGTCCGCCTCAGGAATCTTTCTGTCGTTTAGTTTCTCTCAAAAAAACAAACTCACGCACTCCTTTGTCCACCACACCAGACAATTGAGGAATAAAGAGGGGCAACTCAGGGACATTCAGGAACCTTCAGTTTGTGTTTTGTTTAACTTTGACAACTCTAGACTGACTGTGTCACCTGGACTAAAGTGTTTTTTTCTATTTGCCGGAGCTTCAGCTTCAGCTAGTTTAACATCTTCTGCATAAAGTCTAATGCATTTATTTCTGCACAACTCCAAAAGCACAGTACAACGTCTGTAAATGTGTAGAATTTGAATTACATTGAGACGTAATGCAAAGCTTCTGCGTGAGGTCACAACGACACGTTATCTTATAAAAACATGAAGTTGTTGATTGTAGAACGAGTGTTTGATTTCACTCGCTTATCAATTCTTTCAGCTACGAGAGTTACTGTGACGCACTGCAGCTCATGACGCCAATTTAATTGCTCTGAAACCCCTCAGGGCACGCCGGTGGCAATTAGCATCAAACATCATACTTCTCCAATTTATTATTTATTACTGATGTGTGATAAGCATCCATCAGTCTGATTGGATGTAAGTAAATGCTTTGTGTACCTCCTGTAGCTGCCTGATAATCATTCAAGCTCTCATACAAAAGTATTCTTGGATCTCAGACACCCAGTTTGATAACAATAAATATAAATATAAATGTGATTTTCATTGAAATAATTAAACCAACAGTTTTTTCTCTAGCTCTGAAATAGGTGTTTAAATATTTAGCTTTCTAACCTTCACTTTCTAACTTGCTAAACTTTCATTCTGCCGGTTAAAAATCTCATCAAATGAGTATTTTTTTTCCCTCATTCTGATAATTAACTTTAACAGGCTCTTTTGGCATTCGGTGGCACTTTGCCTCTTTGTGTTACAAATTTGCTAAAGGTCAAATTCTGTGCCATTACTTTTCTTACATCTTTTTTACGGGCACTCATTTCCCTCTCCCTCTCTCTCACACACACAAACACAAACAGTGGGGCTCTATCCTGTTTTTTTTTTTTTTTTTCGTCTGGGTGTCCTCAGTGGGGGGTGAAGGATGAACTGGTCGTCTGTCTCCAGACAGCCTCTGGCGGTGATGCTTTTATCAACCCCATGCTGGCAGACCTCTACTGCTGACTAATAAGAGCATCTCCCGTATTAACTACTGCACTCCTCCACAGCTGTTCTCTGACTTTGTGACTTGTGTAACTTTGGTTGACTTTGTGCTCAATTGTACTTCCGCATGGGGATTTGTCAAACAAGCCCTGTGCATGCGTGTGTTCTTTTAAATCTTGAAGATTTAAGGCTTTGTGTGTTCTCTTCTCTTCCTCTGTTGTCATCTTTGTGCTTTTCTAGTCTCCCAACAAGCCCTCTTCTCCCCAAGACAAGATCAGACCCCTGACAAGTCTAGATCATCCACAAAGTCCTTTCTACGACCCTGAAGGGGGCGCTATCACTCCTGTGGCCAAGATGATACTGGAGCGCATCGCAAGAAAGGTCTGTCTGTTTTATACTGTACCACTCAGCTCCTGCTGTAAATTCAGATACTGTACAAAATTGATCATAAGTAAGGAAATTGCATCACGATAGTATTTTTGTAAAATGCGAATGTAAATATTCATGCATGTATTCAGTGTTTGCAATGTAAAGACATATTGATGTTCCATGTAAAGGCATAACGTGGAAAGGGAGAAGAAAATATGGAAATGCTCTAAACTCTTTGCTAGAGAAATGTTTATTCTTTGTATTGTAGTTCTTTTAGATTGCATCATCCCAATCAAATACAATTAAATGCAAACAATTAAATGTAATTCAAACAAGGCTTGAAGCCATGTGTTTGTTACTGTACAGGGCTGGACAGTGACCTAGTTACAAGCTTTTTTGTTTTAACAAGCAAAAGGAGGTCATTTGTTTTTGTGCTCTGTTTTATTTTCGAGTTGACCTCTTGCATTACATTTAAGTTTTATACTCAATTAACTCTAAACTCGGTCGTCCCCACCAACACCGCCGTCCTCATTCATGCATGGCCTGCTCCGACCTCCACCTCAGCGGCAAGGAAGTGTGGACAACAGGAACGTGAGGAATACAAAGGAGAAATCCTTCCATCATGTTATCCCTTATGCTCTTTTGCAAAGCGTCTTGAGCTAACACTTGTTATGAATTGGCGCTATACAAATAACGATTGATTGATTGATTGATTGATAAACTCTCTTCATTATGTGCTAAACTTGTACATTTAGGCAAAGTTTAACATTGTAGAACTGGCATCTAGTAATATTTGCTATAGCTGTGAAGAAAAGATGCCCCTAAAAGTTTCTAAAGCAGGGACAGAGGACACAGAGACTTGTCCTTTTGGCTTTATCGCTGCTCAGCAGGTAGCATGCTGAGTTTAATCCTCTTCATCAACACAGCGATTGATCGGTGTTGGAAGTATTTTCTGTATTTACTGTGCATGAGGTTAAAGCCACTTTTTCACAAGGTGGGAAAAAATCATTAAGACAAAGTGTAACTAAATTAAATATAAGTTTAGAAAAATATATTATCCCGTAAAACTTCAGTTGTTGGTAAGAATAGCTAATGTACATCCAGCAACGCTTCAACAATATAGAAACAAATGATTGTTTCTGGTGAAGTCATCGCCTGGCTCTGATCTGCAGATGATGATCAATCATCACGTTCATCACCTCACGTGTATAGGCATGCTTCACAAAGAGTTAGAAATAACAGAAAGCATGAAAGCATAATCTGAAAGCTTCAAAAGTATGTATGGCTGCCAATAAACGTTACTCTCTATGAAATATAAATTCTTCCTATTAATATAACAAAATAGAAAATCTGGGTGCAAAGCAGACAGTCCTTACAGGTTAGTAGTGCTTAAGTGACATCTAGTGGCAGCTCTGGGGATTTATCATCATTTATACACACACACACACACACACACACACACACACACACACACACACACACACACACACATATATATAATAACACACCCAAACACATACATGGATGATTGTTTGGCTATATAGACTGCCACAGGAATCTTACTGAGTGCAGGACTGCTTTACAACATAACTCTGTGTGTGTTTGTGTGTGTGTGTGTGTGTGTGTGTGTGTGTGTGTGTGTGTGTGTGTGTGTGTGTGTGTGTGTGTGTGTGTCCATAGGGGGAGCAGTGCAACATTGTGCCAGACAATGTGGATGACATTGTAGCAGATATTGCCCAGGAGGAGAAAGAGGAAGGTCCGGACCCTACTCTCGTTTCTCTCTCGCTCTCTCTCTCTCTCTCTCTCTCTCTCTCTCTTTTTTTCGCTCTCTTACACAAGATTAAAAGCATTGTTAAAAGCGGTCAGCTATTAAAGTATCTGCACTCCCTTTTCAATCCGGCAGATGATACTCCTGAGACGTGTATCTACTCCAACTGGTCTCCATGGTCCGCTTGCAGCTCAGCCACTTGTGAAAAGGGCAAGCGGATGAGGCAGAGGATGCTGAAGGCCCAGTTGGACCTTAGCGTGCCCTGCCCGCACACCCAGGATTTTGAGCCCTGCATGGGTCCTGGCTGCAGCGATGAGGGTGAGTTTGTCCATAAAGACTGAAGGTTAATGTGTTTGGGAACAAATTTAAAGTGGACGAGGACTTAAAAGTCTGCTGAATTAATTAGAGTTTTTTTATGTTTGAAAGGTTAAGCCTCCACATCTTTGAGCTCTTTTGTTGAAATTTAACTATAATTGCTTTTATAACTGTGATGTTTTGACACTCTCTAAAAAGTGAGGGCATGTTGAAAAAGCAGCTTTTATTGTTAAAGGGCATTGGTAATACCCAGAGGAATATTCCAGCGTAATTAAGCGAGAGCAGGAGAGGAGGCAGAGAGGGCACTTTGTTCTTTCAGCAGCCTTTCAAACGATATTGTAATTCAAATAAAATGAGGCCATTAAATATTTTTTGTAAGATGATGAAGACTAATTCAGTCAAGCCACATATGTTAGTCCTTTTAGTGTCATTTTATTTTTTCCAGCCTCTCTTATTTGATTTAGATTTTTAGATTTTATCTATGACACGTTCTCTCTTTTTTTTGTGTCTCAGAAGTGGCAGATTGGGTTTTTATATGCGGATGAGTCTGTCTGTCACTTTGTGTTCAGCATTTGTGGCTAATCCAATGATTTCTGAACCTTCCCCTAGCACCAACACAATCATGACATGTCAGAGTGTGATTTATGTTTACTATTCCATGCAAATGAGGAAACCTTGTTGTTCATTATTTGTCAGTATTCTGGCAGACCTCATCATTTTATTTATTCCTATTGCCATATTTTACACACTGTTGCTCAGTTGGTAGAATCGGTCGCCTCTCAATTTGAATTTGCAGGTTCGATCCCCAGCACCTGCAGCAACATCTCCAATGTGTCCTTGGGCGTGTAAACGTGTATGAATGGTCTAGTTACTGACACTTTACATAGCAACCTCTGCCATCAGTGTGTGAATGTGATGTAAATGGGTAGATGTGACATTCAGTGTAAAAAGCGTTTTGAGTAGTCAGAAGACGAGGAAAGTGAAAAAACAAGCTCTCAAGTCCATTTACTTGCAGAACTCACTTTCTCATTCAATTATGCTTAATATGACAACTTGCAGATACAAAGTAATCTAGGAGGGGAAGCATTGTTCACAAATTCTACAGTAAAATAATATGTGGCCAAAAAAGTGGAGAAAATAAAATTAAAGGAGAAATATGTAACTCTGACACGTAGTGGTTAAAATGGGTACTGCAGTCTAAATTCAAAACATTGGAGAGAGCTGTCATTGTACTTGTCCCTACCTGCCTAAAGCTTTCATTATTTATATACATAAAAGGTATTCATAGTGTTCAGAGAGACTTCAGAGCCTAACTATTGGTGACACAGCTGCAGCTTCTTCTATTATCGGTTCCTTTTACCTTTAATTCCTGCATATATTGACTCTGATGTCAACATGAAGAAACATCCTTTCTGCTGGTGGAGCTGCTGACGTTTGACATTTCTTACTGATACGAAAAGCGAAGAGCTGTCAGTGGAATCTATTAGAGTTCTTTGTTTTCATTAATCTAAAATGACAGGCACAAAAGAGAGAACATTATCCACCATATGTAAAACTGTTTCCTGTCCCTCTCTTTCTTTTGACAATAGATACCAAATGTATATTGATAGAGAAAAATCTGTTGTTTTGTGTGGATGGGATCCTGAACATTTTAAAGGGAACCACATGAACAGCAAATCTCTGCCTGCTTAAAAAAGACAGGAGTATTCAAAGTAACAAATGAGATGACTCGTTTTAAATTTGAAAACAAGTGTTCAAGACATGAAATGTTTAAATGACCACTTTGGGAGGTTCTTGGATAATTGAAACAGCTCATTATACAGATTAATGCATATACATGTCAAACAACAAAAAACAACTTTGCTAATCAACTTTTAATGCACAATAAAGCATTGGTTGTGTTAATGCAGTAACTTAAAGCTTTATTTTCTCTCTTACGGTAAAGATAGGGACAGTTTCTAAAGGATTCCTCACTTTAGGTCTCTGTTTTTTCTCCTGTTGATACAGTGAGCAGAAGCACATGACTTTATTTCTCTATTATAGGCTTTTCTAAGATCATTTAGGGGTTGTACTCAGGGCTCAAGGTGGCAGAAACTCTCAATCTGATTTGACTGCTTTCTTGAGAATTAGCTTTACGTGTCTTATATGGAAGAGTTTGTTGCTAGTAGGTGTCAGGTTAAGATCATTAAACTACTTTTAATCGTAGGATGACAAATGAACACTCATATAATACATCGATGTACTGTTATCACTATCTGACTTCTTACTTTAATTCTTAAATGTCTTTGTTGCTAAAAAAAAAATGCACTGAAGCTCATATATTTACATATGAAACTAGTAGCAGAGGAAAGCAAGTTGCAGTTGTCAGTGAGGTGCCTGATCTATAATCCATACATTCTCTAGAAGGGCACATTTATTTTGTGGCAGAACAATTAAGTCTTTAGTATTACTTTAGAGTTCAGTTCAGCTAAATAAATGTTACCAGAAACTTTTTTTTTATCTTACTAGGGATACAATTACAAATCATTTAAAGTTGCAGGCTAAACACCAGGTTAGTGTGGTGGGAGATTAATTTAGAAGATAATAAAAGTAATTACTGCCTAAGGAACAACAAGAGTTGTGGAGAATGGCTCCAGCTTTAAAAGCAGCAGAGAAATTTTACACAGATAGGAAGTCTCAGGCTGTGATAAAGCCTCAACAATCACATCTTCAGAAATAAAAGTTAAACAATGCATAGCCATGTTCTTTTTATCTTGCCTAGAATAAGCTTAGTTGGAGCTTATATGGTGAGAAATCCTCCAAATGTACACATTTGTATTAGACTTGTCCGAATCTTCACAGCAGTTAAATTCTGTCTACAATGATTTTCTTAGTCATGAAACAGAGCCAAATACCTTTACCAGGGGATTATGTTTATCAGGTTTAAATTCAGAAGTTTCTATTGGGAACAGTTCCAGGAGTCATTGTAAACACAGCAAACCAACACATACAGTAGGCTTGTGTGCATTTCAATTCATTGTCACAATCACTGACAGCTTTTGAAACCCGCTGACATCTTCCTTTCTGTCCTTCGACTCTTCAGATGCTTCCACCTGCATGATGTCAGAGTGGATCGCCTGGTCTCCCTGCAGTTTGACCTGTGGGATGGGCACTCGTTCCCGGGAGCGCTATGTGAAGCAGTTCCCTGATGATGGCTCAGTCTGCACCCTGCCCACAGGGGAGACTGAGAACTGTGTGGTCAACGAGGAATGCTGTGAGTTTTTCCCCTTTTTATCTGACACATAACCTGCCAATTCAAACCATAGACCTATTGTACCCTGCACTCTAACTTTGTTTGGGATTGTTTAATTGTTTCAGCTTCCAGCAGTTGCCTGGTTACAGAGTGGGCTGAATGGGATGTCTGCAGTGCAACTTGTGGCCTGGGCATGAAGAGGAGAGAGCGCATGGTGAAGATGCCTCCTGCAGATGGCTCTGTTTGTGGAGCAGAGGTGCTAGAAGTGGAGAAGTGCATGATGCCAGAATGTCGTGAGTAGCAGAGTTTTCAGGACAACAACTTTCCCCTTCACCTCCTACTCATAAAACCTGGTGAAAATGGTCTCATTAGGCATCCAAAATTAAAGGCTGGTGGCCTCACTGTAAATCCATGGAAGCGCCACTAATGAGACGATCTTAAGTTGAGCTTTCCTGCAGAAGCACTCTCGTCTTTTTTTCTTCTTTAAGAATAAGTAAATAGAAGCCAGTAAAAGTTTGTTTCTCCTATGACTATTCCTAATTGTTTTCCTTTAAAGACATAATTCCATCAGTCACATTCAACTTTAAATATCCCAAACATGCATGCATTTCATATTAAAGCACTACACTATATGTATTACTGATTGATTCCTTCTGTGTGCAGACACAATCCCCTGCATGCTGACACCCTGGTCAGACTGGAGTGAGTGCAGTGTGACTTGTGGAAAGGGTTTGAGGACACGGCAGCGCACGCTCAAGTCCCCTGTGGAGCTGGGAGAGTGTACGGAGGAGTTGGAACAGGTGGAGAAATGCATGCTGCCAGAGTGTCGTAAGTAATGAAAATCTCTATCTGCACGCCCACATACTGCACATGTGTGCACATGTGAAATGAATGAGAAAAGAAAGACGAGGCCATGTTTGATATGCAAACTAGTGTCTTGATGTAGATAGATGAAGCACTGAGGGGAGTGACTTCACAGTGGCAGTGCAGAGAAAAGCAAAACCCTATCTCTGTGTTGTGTATAAGTTAAGATAAAATGCACATTTAAGCAGTATCATGCTGCTTCCTGGAAGATAAGAGAGGATGGCTTTAAATGCAGTATTCATATTTAAGCTTGAAAACTACTGTCAAGTGCATGACAGATCTAACATGACAATGTTGTTTAAAAAAACGTTTAAATAAGCCAACCTTCAAGGTCATTAAGACCATAAACACCTGTCAGGGAAATGACTCCAAATGTGTTTATGGTCAAAAGTTATTTTCTAAAAAAGGAACTGTAAATGTACAATTTTGGTCAAACTTCCCATAAAATCAAATTCAAGGCATCAGTAATCATAAACACACACATTATGTTCTTTAGTAATACAAGATTTTGGGTTTCTAGTATTTTTGTAACTTTTGAAACACAGTCACACTCAGATATTAGCATTAGCTCAAGAGTCAGCTATCACATGAACTGGTGCTTTTTAATATGTATTGAGTCATGTAAAATATTTTCCTGCTTTAATCAAAGAATGTTTCAGGTATAATTTGAGCACAATCAAAAATGAAGATTTGGTAGCATTGTTGCCCCATGTTGATAGATTTAATTGAAATGTTACTGCTCCAAAAAGTGAAGAATTGAAATAACCTGCCAGGTTGTCTCATAAATGATTGTAATTTATCAGTTAATCGATGTTGCTATTGTTTTAGGACTTGGCATTCTAACTATGAACCAGACTGAGTGTGTTATTCTCTGCAGAGGTATTAGTTGACATTAGCGGTGAGGATGCTACATCAGGGCCATTCACTGTAGCTATGTTAAACAAATCACACAAGCTAGCAAATCCCAAAGCTATTTCCTCGTGTAGTGTACTGAATAATTCAAGATGAAACTAGTTATATTCCCTGGACTCTGCTTCATCTATAATTCAGGACTTATTCTGAATAGAAAATTGAATAAAAAAGTCATAAATTGCTATATGTAATTTTTGTCTTATCTGTTTTAATTTGTTAACTTCACTCTGTCTATACTATCTAGTGTCCTCATCAGTAACCACTCATACTTCATTTTTTTTACTCAGCTACACCTTCTTATAAACCCTTTTTTATGATAAACTCCTGTGTCCTCAGCCATTGACTGCATCATGTCAGAGTGGACAGAGTGGTCAGAGTGCAACAAGTCCTGTGGGAAGGGTCATACAATCCGGACGCGCATGGTGAAGCTGGACCCTCAGTTTGGAGGAGACACCTGTCCTGAAACCATCCAGAGAAAGAAGTGTAAGATCAGGAAGTGCAACCGCGGACAAGCCAACAGCGATGAGAAGAAACGACGCAAGGAGCAGCGCGACAAGAGGAGGAGCAAACCGAGCAGAACTGAGGCCAATTCTGAGCATCCAGGTCAGTATCCATATCACCTTATCCTTATCACATTCAGATCTATAATATCAAGAAATGATACCATGGTGTTGGTGAACAGTTGATTGTGATTGGCTGACAATGCCAGGTATAAATAGATACCTGACAATGGACATATTTTAAGTAGTTCTGGCTATCAGACGGTACACACGGCTGATCATTTGTCAAAGTCTTGATGTTGATTTGGGTAGAGTCAGTGATGTAGTGGTGCCTAAAAAAGTCGGTATACTCTTAATTTTTCCCCAAAATGTTTTTTTTTTTTAAGTAGCTCTCCAGCAGAGGATAAACAGCCTCTGTTATAAACAGAGTCATGTAAGACTACATATTTAGATCATGTGTACTAGCCAATTAGAGATGGAGTAGGGAGAGTCATCCTTTCACCATCAGGGTTAAAAAATGCAGCATACTACTGAATATTGTTCATCAATCAATGGTGTAAATCAGAGGGATTTAGAAGTGGGTATACCCTATGGAGAAAGTAAGTGGGTATACTCTGCATATACCCTGCACTAGACCACTGTGTATAGTGTCATGACTTGTTAGGTAGCGCGTTGTGCATTATACTACTGTCAAAGTATATTTGATTTATGTCTAACGCAAAATTGTATTAACTTTGAATCTTGCTACCATACTGTTAGCTTTGTGCCTTGTACCTGTGTCGTACAGTGTCATGAGATGCCAGCACTAGAGCTTTCTCTTGTTGCCATGTCACACCTAAGAACTATTGTATTTACTCAAGAAGTGAAGTTTCCATTGCAATAACTTAATGGGATAGTAGTGATGATTTTGGCAGGCATTAACAAGGGAAACAGATCAAAGTTTTGTTAAAGACCTTGCATTTGAATCATAGGAGTCATGAAAACATGAACTTATGGTCCTATTATTTTCTCTTTACCAAGTGACTAGCAGGGGAATGCCCTATGAGGGGTCCATAATCAGGAAGTTATGGACTCCAGGGATTTGTCCTCCACATTGTCTATACATTCCTGGTAATGGACATCTCATCTAGTATCATGCCTTACAAAATTAATCTGACAGCTCCTTTTTCTTTATTTTTTAGGGTGTAAAATGAGGCCGTGGTCGAGTTGGACAGAGTGTACCAAGCTGTGCGGAGGAGGTATTCAAGAGCGACTCATGACAGTGAAGCAGAAGTTTAAGACTGCCCAGCTGTCCAGCTGCAAAGACAGGAAGGAGATCAGGGCTTGTAATGTGCAACCTTGCTAGGCAGGAGTAGGAGAGCGGGGGGTGATGTGGGGAAGGGAGGGAGGGATGACAGTGCGGCTGGGAGAGGGCAGGGCATGGCACACTGTCGCACAATGATCCAATGCACTCTGTTTAGGGCTGAAGTGGCACATACGTGAATCTGTATTCGTTAAATCCAGGGCTGAATTTAAAGATCTCACTGGAAAACTCCGGATTCTGTGCTTTTAAACTAGCTCTGATACACATACAACTCTTTTGCAAGGTTACTGTAAACATGTTGTGGTATAATATATCTTAAAAATATGATTATGAAATATACATTGATTTAATAATAAGTTAAAGAACTGTTATATCTTGTTGTATCCTTGAGTAGTACAGTATATTCCAGACTTTAAAGCACAGGTGCCCAGCCATTCCAGTGTTTTATATGCCTTCAATTATTCAGTTGTTTCTAGGACACAAAATGCCCAGTTGACTTTTTACCCAGCTATATTGTTGTACATGTAGATGCACCATGATTGAGATCTATGATATGATTTTGAGCATTATTAGAAGATTTTGTAATTTTTTTTGCTGTTGAATTTTTTGATAAGAATGTGTCCCAAGATTCTTACCAAAGTCTTGTGTAGATGTTTTCTAGCTCTCTTTCCTCTCCTGTTCTGTTTCTCTGTTCCCTCTAACATATTAATATTTTGGAATAATATCACCTTTACAATAAAAGTAAATGTGACAACTTGTCATCTGGCTCTGTCTTTTTATTCAGATGCAATGGGTTCAACACGGGACAATGGTTTTCAACTCTACTGCCACTAGATGGCGATACCAATCCATGCACATTTGCATCTAACAAGCAAATTGGTTGTTCCTCAGACTGCTTGTTGGAATGTGTCCTCCTTCTCTCCATACTCCTAATATCCACAAGGGGGCAGTGAAATCCATTTAAGATTAATTGAAAAAAAATACAGAAGGATATTTTATTCATTTTATTTGACTCAACTCTCATTTGTGATACAGCTCGCACTTGAAAATGTCTAAAACTTAAAGGATGATAGACAGCAGAACATAGTTCACATTGTGTTACTAGTATGTGCTAAAATATGACACATCTAATAGTCCGATTCTGAAGACCTATAGGGATACAGCCCTCAATACAGAAATCAATGGTCTTCAAAGGTCTTTATATGACTACACAGAGTGGGTGCACACTCATTAAAGAAACATGGAGGTTGAAGTTTTATATACATAAAGGCTGATATCTTGAAGATTCTGCCCCTGAGCTCTCTGATGTATTGGGTGGGGGAGGGGATAGTGTCAGGCCTTTGGCTGTGAAACTCCGGGAACAGGGGTGAAAATTCAATACACACGCATCACAATGCCATTCCTGTTTCCATGCCAACACAATCACACGGAGGGACTCTACACACCTCAGAGAAGATTGAAACATGGAAAGGGGAATCATTACAGCCATGATAGAGCAATTACAACAGAACTCCTGTAGAGACTGACAAGAGGAACAAGGGCTTAAAAAAGGAAAGGGTTTTTCTTAAGGTCTTTTTTTTTTTTAATCTGCATGTGATCTGGTCTGTAGTGCTAGCTTGTTGTTATGTAGCCCAGCTGCAGTTTAGAGATCAGACTGGAAATCATCTCAAAGATTCAGTTATGTCAGTAGACCTGCCATGCCTCTCTGATATTATAATGAGTCTGCTCTGTCTTTGAATACTTGATGAATATGTATATGGTATTTTGGGTGCAGGCCACACAGCTGACATCAAACCAGACTCCTCAAACCTCGTTTTTGTTTGGCCAGTTTCTCACTGTGCATAGGTTTTGTATTTTCAGGGTTCAACATCCTTATAAGTCCTGTTTCTTGTACTTCAGGTTATTGCAGCATCCTGATTTAAAACTGCCTCAGGCACAAAACTGTGTGGTGAAAGCATTTCATCGTGAATTGTGCCATTATAAGAATTACAGAGTCTATTCAACTCATTGAACGTGGATAACCACCCTATTTAGTCTTTGGCTTTTTTTCTTTAGGAAAAAAGTCATTTCAGGTTTTTTTTAATCTTTATCAAACCACAGCTCTTCATCATAAAACCAACTGCACAGTCCTCATCTGAGTCTAACAGACAGAAGAGACAGTGATGGAGTTCAATGTACATCAATTTAAAAAACTGTTAAACAGAAACATTTCCAACAAAACAGCCTCATTGTTTCATAGCAATATTTTTTTCCAATGTTTGGGTGAAGTTGTTACAAAACCTATTACTCAAGCTTCTATATTTGCTATTGTGTGTGTCGCCATGAATAAATCTGACAAAACAAAGTTGTTGTATGTAAGCACCATAGTCTTAAGAATGTAGCTGTCCACCTACAGACATGATTACTGCAGCTTTCATCTAATTTCTCCATCAAGCAATTTAAGAACTTAAGCTCTCAATAATAACACACATCGCCCCCTTTCCCATCCTGGAAATTAAAATGTTAATAAATACGATTACGAAGACATAAAATTAGCAATCTTTTCATGTTTATCAATCTTATTAATAACATTACATAAATACAAAGTCGGTATTGAAACTGATGTATGACAGCTCATTCATGTGTCACCCTGCTATGACATGTGTCTCTTAATTTGACAACCAGAGCAGTTCAATGACCTCCCATTAAATTCTATGGATTGGCAGCAGAAATATATTCTGAATGGAGTTTGGTTATGTAAAGTGGATTATTATTTTCCTTTTTTTTGACAGCAGACATTTTGCTCTGCTTTGTAGAGGCAGTGTGGCATGAGAGAGAAAAGCTGCAAGGAACTAGGACAGTGGGTGTCTGAGTCGGCAATTTTAGCCTGCTTTGGTTTGATTTGCCTTTGAGCTTTTTGAAATGTGACAGGGTCGACACATTCATTGACAGAACATAAAGACAAAGGGCTGGAACAAATACAGCAGTCTTTCAGTCCTATAAACAAAGAAAGACATACAGGTACAGTACAGCTCCCCTCTTCATTGTCCAGACAGGCACTTTCCTCAGCCCAGAGAGAGACAAGAGGAAATACAAGATTTCATAAACTAATAAACCTCAGAGGGAAAATCAATATGGTGGCTCGCCCTGCAAAGGCTCCTTCCACAAATTTATAGACCACAGCAACAATCAATGTCCCGAGTTTATAACCTGTAAAGACTTTGAACAGAAGGGATCTGTGAAATGTCAGTTAGCATTAGAGCATGCTCCGAATATTTAATTAAATTAACAATTAGCGTATCTCAGGCAGAGCCGGGGTATTTCTGTGTGAAGTTTGTGGCTCCAGGCTACAGAGAGCCTCCCTGAGGGCATGGCTCATTATCTGGCTTCACTGTTATGCATGTTTCATTTCTAAACCGAAATGGCTATTCTGTTTATTGCTGCCCTCATGTTTTCCCTCTTTTCCATCTACTGTCACTTCTCTCTAGTGCTAGCAAAGATTTTGAAACCTATTCTGCAGCACAAGATTATTTCCCTGTCATGTTATCTCCCTGTTGCTAAGGAAATGCATTTGGCACGGGTTCAAAGAGTACTTATTTGAATTGACTGGGATCCACAGTGACCACAGTAATGCTATAAAGACACACTGTAAGGCTTCTGCGCAGCCTGATTGTCATTGTAAATTAAAACTTGAGTGGGTAAAATACTAATGTAAAAAAGAGAACTCTATGATATAACATTATCATCAGATATGTTAAATGCATGAAATGTAGTTGTACCAAATAATAGCAACATTTTTGTCCCTCCTTCATTACATCTTTTTCATATATTTAATATCTAACCTGATCTTTATGACACACAATCCCAACAAGAAGAAGTTCTTGTAGCAATTGTATTTAAGAGGAGCTTAATGTCTCATGGGACAGGCTAGAAACTCAGGTAGGTGGATGATTTTCCACCCACTTCGTGACAGAATCTTTATTAGCTCATGGCTGTGATAGATTGTAAGTGCCGCTTGTGCTTTATCATGTCACATGTGCATGCACATGGTTTGACTATACTGTAAAGTAAGTGGTAAACTCTGGAGTTGAAAATGTGCAAAAAATAGTAGGTAAAAAATAATAGTAAAAAGTAGGCCTCATGCTAAAATAATATTTTAACAGTAGAAATAATCCAGGCTGGTACCAAAAGAAGTTTGGTCTCTGGGGCTCATTTCTTTATCCATGACAACTTTATGGTAGATTAATTTTATCACTCACAAGCCATAAAGATTTGGGGCCAGCTGAATCCTGCTGACTTTCTGCAACACATTTAATTTAGTCACTGAACTTAAACTGAAATTTGTGGACGACGCCATCCATATTGGACTTAAGTCTGGTGGGGATGACTCCAGATATGCGTGAGTTCAGACGTCATTTTCCATGAGCAAATATAATTCCATTAGTCCAACAATACAGTAGCCGAATATTAAATAACCTTGTATTTCAACACTCAATGTCACTTTTCTTCTACATTTTTGTTGCTGTTTGGGGATAAACAGCAGTTAACGGCTGATATTTGCAGCCAGTATTTTGAGAGATTTTAAGGCGGATGTGGAGCACTGTAATAAACACTGCATAAAAAATACTTTTCACTGACTGATCTCAAGAAGTGAAAAATGTTATAAAGCGTAAATAATATTTTGGTTAGTTTGGACGTTTCTACCAGTAAAGATGAATATTACGTCTCCCTGGTACAACCAAACAATGACAAAACTTAAGTTAGAACAAATCTAGTTGTAACGTTTAGTGTGAACTACACACCATCATTTAGCACAGAACTAGATAAAACATAGCTGGTGCAATAGGGCACAGGACTTCAAGTGGGAGCATAACATCAGCTCCCTCATCAAGAAGGCTCAGCAGAGAATGTACATCCTGCAGCAGCTGGAGAAATTGAAAAAATCTGCCAAAGGCGAAGATGGTTTTTATGATTTACTGTTACACTGCAAACTGTGTGTCCACTTTTATACAGCAAGACCTCAAACATGCACATGTCTGAACAACTATACAGTTCCTGTATTGCAACTTTTGTGTTTTATATTGTCTTGATTTAGATTTTTATATCCATTAGCTTATTCTCTATAAGCTCTTGACATGTAGGAGTACTGCCTTTTATATAGCCTTTTGCCTCTTTATTCTTCTATGTTAATTGTTTTTGCACCAAACACCAAGTCAAATCTCTTGTTTGTTGAGACATTTTTTAGTAATAAACCTGATTTCTGAAGACCACAGCTGGTTTTGTGTCATTATTAGGACGTTTTCAACAACGGCCAATAGGGAAGAAAGCTGACTGAAGCAGGAAGCACAACAAACTTTACCATGGTAACAACAGCTAACGTGAAGTAAATGTTAGATGCATGTCAAGAATTCAGGACCAACTTGTTGATTTGTGGCAACAACACAAGTGTTCATACAACATGTCCTGTAAAACAAACCACAACACAACTGAGAAGGAAAAGAGTTGGACCCTAATTACCAGACAAACTCTAAAGGGGAAGCTCAGCCGTTAATCAATAATTCTACTTCCTTAAAACTTGGTCTGTAGGGTCACAGACAACTTCAAGCCAACGGCAGTTTACTGTTTGGTTTTGCTTACCGTCAGACAGCTGTTAAATAATGAACAACTGCCGTCCAACTCTAGAGGTTCAAGTGAATATTCCAGTATTAAGTATTTACACCTTGCTTCAAACTGCATTTAAATGTTGAAAGTTTAAGACTCTGACTGATATTGCAAGTTGT